GAGGGAGACATGCAAAATCTGAAGTTTGGAGTTTTTGAAGTTGCTGAGATGTACAGGCCTGGAGGGCTTGCCTCCTCATGCTCAGCATGGCGTCACTCTGGTGTGTAGAAGGAAGTTGGCCAACTTCCCCGCCTCTGTGCCTATTTATGCTTCCCGCCTTCCTTGTTTTAATTATATAGAAACTGGTTTTTGAAAGTTGGCACTTCTGTGCCTGTCCCTTTTGTGTGTTATCCCTGGGCCAGATTGCTTTCATTCTCAGTGCTTTTTCCAGCCACTGGGCTTGGTGCTTCTCTGGACCACCCTAGCAGCATTCAGCTGTGGGTGTCCTTCCCCTCTGGTTTGGCTTCTTAATTCTCCATTTACTGCCAAGTACCCCTTCAGCAGCCAAAGCAGCACCCCCCCGTTCTTGCTTGTGTTCATTACCTAGGGCAACACTGAAGACTAAGTGTGAGCCATCCTGAACATAGCCTGTAGGAGGAACCTGAGGGCAGAGAAGCATGCGTGTTTGATACCTGTTAGGAAGGCAATATATCCTTAGTCTCTTCTAGCCGCAAAGGAATCTAAGGGAGATTTCTGATAAGCTGATCACCTTGGAAACACGTGTACTGTCTAGCTGTTGGACTGTGGTCCTACCCAGTGAAAGCATTTAACAGTTATACTTCTGCAAGTCTTCGACTTCCTGTGAGTATATTTGACGCAAGCTGAATAGTGATTGTAAAATTGCTTTCCATTTTATTGAGTTTACAGCTTCCTAATAGACCATCTCCCTGATGCTTTTGGGAAAATTGTCAGTGACAGCATATATCTCTCACCTAGCATTTAGTATATATACTACAAATAAAATCTTGTCTGGGTTCTGTATCAAATTGTTCAGGCAGAAAGGTAATCGAAATGAGTATGTGTGAATTTTCAAAAAGGGGAAAGAGAGAGTTACCCACATTTTTATGTAACTAAAAGTCAGTTCCCTCTTTGCCTGCATAAAGGAGGCCAGCCCCAGCTATGATCCACACTCTGCTGACCCTGAGGAAGTGAAGCGCTTTCAGGGCATCTGCCTTTTTCAGAGCTTCCTCAAATTCTCAACATTTAGAAAAATTGGCCCTCCAGAGTAGAATTGGGGTGTGTTAGGTATGGAGACAAGGCCAGTGTGGTAGGAGCATGTGCTGTTGTTGGAATGGTCTTGTTATTCTGTCACGAGGACGGAGTGTCAAGGCTGTGTTCCACTTACATGTGCGGACCTGTCACGAGGACGGAGTGTCAAGGCTGTGTTCCACTTACATGTGTGGACATAAAAGGGCTCTGAGCCCAGTCTTGGTCTCCTGGAGGGTCTATTTTTCAACATAATTATGCCCAGACAATGTGACAACACTGACGTATCAGCTAATTAGATGAAGTAAAATTTATTTTAACTTCCTTGTACACGGGCAGAATTTTAACCAGATACAAATCAAATTGCCTTTCAGTCCCATTTCTTTGCTTCAGTTTCGTTTCCAGTCCCATGGTTAGCTCTAAAAGTCCAGTTCTCTTGCTGAAGATTCATTCCAGAAAGTTCTTTACACTTGAGTGCTAAGTGGTCTAACTAAACACCAGTAATTGTGTCCTTCACAGTATACACAGAGATGCGGTATATACAGAGAACTGACTGTAAAGCCTTTGGGGAATTGTATCTTAAAACCTCCGCATAGTATTTTCCAGGCCGTTGTACCTTGGGAAGATTTCTCTGTATCTTGATTAGGTAGAGCCTGGATTTTCCTTGTGGACTTATTCAATTCCATTTCATATATTTTCTTTTCTTGCCAGTGGGGGGGAAAAAAAGGCATGTAGGTGCCTCTTAACAAGTGGTTCTCAACCTGTGGGTCACGAACCTTTGTGGATATTGACTGACCCTTTCACAGGGGTCACCTAAGACCATTGGAAAACACAGATATTTACATTACAGTTTATAACTGTGGTAAATTTATGGTTATGAAGTAGCAACAAAAATAATTTTGTGCTTGGGGGTCACCACAACATGAGGAACTGTACTAAAGGGTTGCAGCATTAGGAAGGATGGGAAACACTGCTCTTAATTTTACAACAAACCTTAAATTCTTGTTGCCTTTCATATGTAGAAAGGTTGATTTGTAGCTGCTATCTTTCTCTTCCTCATAGACCTTGTGGGTGGTAAAGATCTCAGGAGTGAGATTAAAGATGAATGAGGAGCGCTAGAATAGTTTGTCTAAGGTGGGGTTGAGAGGGAGTAGATGGGGGAGGTTTAACAAAAGACATTGATGTTTTAAATGCACAGAAATGCCACCCATCAATAATAAATGGTGTGGCAGTGAGCAGATGTGCCGAATTGAGTTATTACTGCATATGGATCGGTTCGTGGAAAGGAAGCAAGTAGCACAGGCAGGGTTTCACATTTTTTTTAAATGCTGGGTGAGAGCTGTATATAAATTTGAATATTCCATTTTAGGTTCTTGATGGATGCTATATGAATTTTTTTTAAGTCTAGAATTTGCAAAACTTCCAATGAAAGTTTGTACATTTTTGAAGGATTATTACAGATGAATGAGTTTGTTCTTCTGGAGAGGTAGAGAGTCTGAAATGGATTTCGTGCTGTTCATAGCTGAGTGCTTGTTGAGAGCCTGTGCTGTAATTGTTCTGAGGAGTGACATCACATTACAAAACCCAGGTCATGTGAAACTGTTAGCCACAGCTTTTACTACACTGCATTGATTATACATCTAGGTTCCTGCTCAGTACCTGCTTAAACTCCAGGGACTTCTCAGGGCCCTTACTCACGCTTTGGAATTATTTCATCCCCTCAGCATGTTGTTTAACAGGTAATTCTATACACATACCCACGTGAAATATTGTAGTTTTATCAAACAGAAAGTCACTTTAAGTACAATGGGTAGACAGAATTCCATGAGATAGAGTAGAATATTTTATAGGTACAGGTCCTAAAGAATGCTAGATAGATTTCCATGTGCCCTGCATGGCAGAGAGTAAGTGTGTGAGATGTTTCAAATTAAAGTGAGTCCTGAGTTCCAGAATTGGAATTGTTGTGCCTAATGAAAAAAACAGGCTTGGTTAAACTTGAACCTATTCCACTCATCTTAATATTGCCTCCTGTGTGTCTTTTTTGGTAACTTGTTAGCAATTGGATTTCTTTACTTTGTTGCCCCAACATAAGTAAAATTCCTTTTCTCTCTTTTTAATGTGAACAAAATTTTCATAATTCTTGAATGCAAAGTTGGTTTAAACTTAAAGTTTGTTAGAGTGGAAAGACACCTCACTGAGTTGTTGGTTTTTCTCGGTTGTTTTAGTTGAGAGGACTCTCATAGTCCTGACAATCAAGACAATGTAAAAAGGAATTGTTGACTTCTAGCCATCTGCCTGGGTTCACCGTCAGTGTTTGCTACCCGCCCTCCAGTGTTTTCAGGTGCAGAGTTTACTTGAATTAATCCTTTCACCTCCTAACAGTCCCAGTGTGTCTTAGAAAAGGACTTGTCAAACTGATTTTAGAGCCACCAAATAAATCTATTTTATAGTCTCCTTAGATACCCACCTCAGAGCCCCTCATAGTGGAAGGGCCCATGGTTGGAATCAGCAGGCCCCCTGAAATCATCTCTGCTCACCTTCTCTGGGTTGTTAAGAAGGTGTTGTAATGTGAGAAGGCTGGTAGTGAAATCAAATTGTGGCTCTGGGTAATTAGGAGAGAAAGCCCAGGGTTTTCACAGCACATTGTCTGGCTTTCAGTTGCAGCTGCAAACAACGGATATGAACTTTAACCACTTGCTGCAATGCAGCTGTCTCAGATCTGGCTTTGTAACTGGCTGAAGTAAAATGAAATGGCTGGAAAATTCCAGTCAAGTAACACCAGTGGGAACATGTGGAATTAAATAGTGTGAGCAAATGCTGGCTGAGTTGGGGAAAAACTTCAGACATAAGCTTAAGGGTGGTAGTCAGGATATGGGGGGACATTTCTGGCCTTTTAAACAAGGGTCCATTGTTTTGACTAGTACTCTTACAGGAGCTGAGACGTTCTTACCATCAGAGTGACTTACAGAGTGTGTGGCTTGTCTGTCTGCCTTCTTGACTAAAGTCACTCAGTCCTTTATTCTACTATTTTAATTAAAAAACAAAAACAAAACTGTTACCGTATAACTAACAATAAGGCAAATCTTAGAGCTATATCAGATGGCACTGGGGGAGTGCTCCCACTTCAGAGGGACACACAGAACCTCTGTCCCTTCGTAGTTACCCTCTCTCATCACTTGTTGGCTGAAAAAAAAAAAAAAGAGCCAGTTCACTTGTTTCAGTTGTTATAATGAAAGGATTCTGCAAGGAAGAGTGTGGTCTGACTGAAGAAAGGTTTTGTGTTATCAGTGGATAGGTTTTTGTTGTTGTTGTTGTTCTTTCCCCCTGAGCTGTTTGCTTCATTTGGTAAATTAAGAGCTTACTAAGAGCTCACTGGGAAAAGATATAAGGAGTTAGAGGCCCCTGGTGGTGTTTGGGGAAAACATCTTCTGTCACTAGGTCCAGGGCTTGTTACTCTGCCAGTGCTTGAGAATTGTGCTTGCCAAATAATTCCCTGTCATGGATTAACCAGTGATGCAAAACATTTGGTTAAGAGACTTAAAGAAATCTCTCCTGAGGCACATGATTGGTAGTTGTTGTCCATAACCCCCTCAGGAGGGGGCTCAGGGCTTAGATTAAATTTGCAGTGATGAGTCATGCAAATGCACATGGTCCAATGAAGGATCTCTTTAGAAGGCAGGACTCTGTTAGATACGTCCCCAAGAAAATCCCTCAGAGCTTCTGTTCCTCCTTGGAGAGGAGGCCCCACCCAAGCTATGCTATGTGATTTTTAGGAGACAAATAAAATTATCAGTCAAAATGGACTATGTCCCAACAGTGGTAGTGCATTAGCAAAGTCGAGCAAAGACTAGTCCCCTAGACCCTCTGCACAGTCCCGTCCAGCTGTACTAATCTGTGCATCTTCCACCCCACAGATCACTATTATCTTCAAAGCACACCATGAGTGTACAGATCAGAAAGTATACCAAGCTGTGACAGATGACCTGCCAGCCGCCTTTGTGGACGGCACCACCAGTGGGGGGGACGGTGACGTTAAGAGCCTTCACATCGTGGAGAAGGAGAGCGGCCGCTACGTAGAGATGCATGCCCGCTACATAGGCACCACAGTGTTTGTGCGACAGCTCGGCCGGTACCTGACCCTCGCCATCCGGATGCCCGAAGACTTAGCCATGTCCTACGAGGAGAGCCAGGACCTGCAGCTGTGTGTGAATGGCTGCCCCACGAGTGAATGCATGGATGACGGCCAAGGCCAGATGTCTGCTCTCCTGGGGCACAGCCTGCCTCACTCCCCTTCAGGGCAGGCCTGGCCTGGCTACACACTGGAGACTGCCAGCACCCAGTGCCACGAGAAGATGCCCGTGAAGGACATCTATTTCCAGTCGTGCGTCTTTGACCTGCTCACCACTGGGGATGCCAACTTTACTGCTGCAGCCCACAGTGCCTTGGAGGACGTGGAAGCCCTGCACCCGAGGAAGGAGCGCTGGCACATCTTCCCCAGCAGCCGCGGGGGGCGCAGGGATTTGCCTGTTGGTCTTGGGCTCACATGCTTGGTCCTCACTGTGTTTTTGTAGGGGTTGCTTGTTGTATTTTGGTTTTGTTTTGTTTTGTTTTGTTTTTTTGGGTTTTTGTTGGTTGTTGTTTTTTTGTCTATAACAGAATTTTAAATATATATTGTCATAATATATTGAGTGAAAGAGTATATATGTATATACCATGTATATGACAGATGTTTGTCCTGGAACACCAGATTGTACATTATGTGTTTGGCTGTTTTCACATATGTTGGTTGTAGTGTTTTTTTGATTGTATCAACTTTGTTTTGAAGTTTTGTGAAATGTTTTATAATGTCCCTGCTTAGGGACTTCTTAGAAAGCACTTTATTTTTTATATATTAAATATTTATGTGTGTACCTGGTTAATATGTACAGTGCATATACACAGACACCACAGCAATCCATTTGAAGGAGACCAGTTTGTAGCTACTCTGGGTGTCCCTCCTGCACTTCCCTTTGCTACTGATTTGCCAAGGTACACAGTTCCCAATGGAGCTGTCTCCTTTCCTTTGAAATGTCAATTTGAGAGGAAAGTGGTCCCCTCACTTCTAAGTACTTTTGATTCTTAAAATGTGGCTCTCACTAAAGAACCTTGTTTCCAACAGTTCAGTTTTTGCGAACGTGGGGACAGTAGTGCTACAACTGCAGTCCGTGTTATAGTTGTGACATTGGAGCACATATGGCCTATTAAGTTGACCCTTCCGAAGCTGCTGTGTGTTGGCTCTGAGTCTGCTGATGGACATTGCAAGTAAATTCCAGGCATCTTACTATACCTGAGCTAGTAGCTCTTTCTCATCATCTATCCCTACTTAAATTGTAGTTTTCCCCTCCTGTAACTCTTTAAGCAAAACCAAATTATCAGCTTAGTAGAGGTCATACCTTGCTCTCCCTCTTTGTAATTTGTAAAAATCACTTTAACTCTCCTCCTTGGCTGCTTGGAATTCTAACAGTGCTGTGTGGCTTTGCCCCAGCATCTCCCTAATTTCCCCTCAGGATTCCAAATCCTGGCTGTTAGTGTTCCTCTGATATTGAGGTCCTGGAGTAGGCCGTGAGAACTGAAAATCTTCCTTGGCGTACGTTAGTACGTACGCACTTGCCTCTGGATGCTGTTCAGTCCTGATGTTCATAACTAGGCGTTGTGCTGCCCAAGTAGTATCTGCCTTTTCAGCTCTCTGCCATCTTGACACCTGTTGTTGAATGTTAGGCAATTGCACCTGTCACTTAGTGAAATCCCTGTAAGGTAAAATCTCTCCTTGCCTCTTCCATCCCATTGCTGGTACCAACTGTAAAAGGAACATGGCGAAAGTCAGTGGTGCCAGCACAGTTAACTCCTGAATAGGTAGGTTTGTATTGTTATATCTAAATGTGAGTGTTTGGTTCCAAGAAGTGATATAATTTGTGTTTTAATATTTAAGGTTTAAATTAATGCAAGCAAAGATACAAACCTTAAATACTCTATAGTTATTTAGGCTAGGGTGATACTTTTTGCCACGCCCTATTGGCCAGTGCCACTGACAGACTCAGGCTGGCAGCAAAAAGGATATTTTGTGAAGTTGTGTTTCTTAGAGAACTGATACAATGAAAAGGTGGGATTGTGTGCTCATTAGGAGGCGGAAGACTGTCACCCTGGGGCAATTCCAAAGGCACCCTGCGTCCTCTTCAAGGTTGGACTCCAGCCTCGCCCTGTAAAAGAACATCCTAAGAAAGCTGGATTGGGACTGAGCAGCTCTGAAGCATGGCCACTTTTGTTCATGTTCTTGAGCCATGTGTCAACATCAGTAGCTACTAGTAATTGAGTAGAGCAAGAGAGGGAAGATGTTGATTATTTATAACCACTATTTTTGTGCAAATAGTATAAAAGTAAAGCAAAAACAAAGGAAGTCTCTCCAGTGTCTGGCTTTAGAGTGTGATGGCTGTCACCTCTATCCTTTTGAGGAGAACAGAACCACCACGTCTACTCGTAGTTTGGAAGAGAAAGTTTGCTTGTTTAGCTGTATCGTTTAGCTGGAAAGGGTGCCCATGAGTGTACGAACTACAGCAGTGGCATTAGTAATAATAGTGTGATGGTTTCTCCCCCATAATCCCTGTCCCTTTACGTCCTTTACAGATCCCACAGATAACTTTTAGAAGTGAAGTACGTCTGTAGAGAAGGGCCAGGTTTTCTTCGGGGTTTCTAAGGAAAATACTGCGTACAGTTGTTTCATCGAGTCCTTGGCCAGGAGAAGGTCAGACCAGACCAGCATGTGTATAAGCTAGAGCTCTTCACAGCTCTCTGGGGAGAGCTTAAAACTTGGGGCAAAACACTTGGTTTTCCCAGATCTCTCTACATGGCTCTTTCAGAAAAGATTCAACAACACTTTTGCCCTGTTCACTGCGCTTGGAAACCCCCACGCTGTGCCGAGTCTTTGCAGAGAAACCTGTAGATGTGGTTCATAGGTGTATGAGTATCTGTAAAAACAGTGAGTGTGCGGTATGTAAATACTTTTAAGTTATTATGCTAGAAAAATAAAGTTATAGACCTTGCTGTCAAATGTTTGTTCTGTGGTTATAGTGACACCTGCTGGAAGAGCTGAGGAACCTCTGCAGAAGAAAAGGAGTAAGGGAGTTCAAAGTTTTGACAGGATGTACTGCTTGCCCCCAGCTCATTTGACTGCTACTGTAGTTTTTCCTTTATAACCTCTAAAAAATTACAAATAAAGCAGTGCCTGTGATGCTGGCTGCTGGTCCTAAAGATCTGTCTTTAACGAGTAGCTTTGCCCCCTAAGGACACTGCACTTTGGTCTCTTGAAGACGACTGGAGTGCAGCAACGTAGCGTGATGGAAGTATGTGGGAGGGAGGATTTTTATTTTGTTTTGTCTTTGAAGACTTGCAAGCCCTCATAAACAGGGAAATGTATGCCAACTGGATCATCTGAGCTACAGAAACCAGAGGTACAGCCCAAGGTGCAAAGTAGTGCCTGTATAACGGGAGGCTACATTCCCACTTCGCATCCACAGCAGACAGCCAGCTTTCCGGAGACCAAAACTAGAGAAATTCCAAAAGCACAGAGAGGAGACTTCATAAACAGCAAGTGAATTTGAGTTTTCTTAAACTAAAAACTTAATAATCCTGTTAGTTGCCTGATTTATTTCATTTTTTAAAAATATGTATTGGTAGGATGGTCTTGGATCACTATAGACTTCCTCTGTATTCCGTAATCAAAGAACACCTCCTCACCCCCAAGAAGGGAAACAAAAGGACGTTCTAGTTCTACTTCCACTCCCTGTATGTCTTCTAAAGGGAAAGTCAATTTTTTTTTAAATTCACTCTTCTTCCCTCAGAGAACCTCTGGTAAGATGTTTTACACTGTCAACTAAATAATACAAGGTGTCTCCCCACCCCCAATGTCCTGTCAACACTTTGAAGTGGTGATGTCTGTGTCTCCTCTCTTGTGAATGGCTTGCACATTGTCCTTCTTGCAACTAGGGCTGCACATAGCCAGAGCTCATTTTATTTTCATTAGGATGATGTCAAATCAACTGAGCAAACATACTAAGGTAGGTCTACCAAACTGCCATCAGAAAAAAAGCAAAAGTAGGGCAATATTTCCTAATTGGAGGTTCTTTTCTTTATGGTTGTGAGCCAAAACCATCCTTCCAACCCCTAACTGGTTTCTGTTAATGGGTGATATATTTATGATCTATTTTTTTATTCGAAAATGAAAAGTACACCTCAAAACTTTAAAAAGGCATTCTGTAACCAGATCAAATATGTAAGACTAAATCACAAATGAGTTGGCAGAGTACAAATGCACCTGCCGTAAATAAGCAGACAAGCAGTCTTTACAACTAGGACTGTTTCACGGTCTGAGACTATAGTCAAGTGTTTGCCGCAGAATCATGAGGATCTGGGTTCAGATCTAAGTCAAGTGGCACAGGCTGGTGATTCCAGTTCTGGGGAAGTGAAGGCAGGAGGATCTCTGTGCTGAATTAGTGAGCTCCATGTCTAACGAAAGGTGCTGTCTCAAAAGATAACAGGCCATAGAGAACGACACCCCATATTGCCCTCTGCTCATTACATGCATGTACACATCAGCAAAACACTGCAAACACCACACACACGCACACAAAAGAGTAATGGTGTGAGTAAGAATGACTCCCGTACAATATCTGCCTGCTTGGTCCACGGTTGGTGGAGCTGCTGAGAAAGGCTTAGGAGGTGTGCCACTGGGAGTGGACTTCGAGGTTTAAAAAGGCCAGCCCATTCCCATTCTCTTGCTCTCTGTACCTCTTGCCTACGGATATAATGTCTTGGCTCCTGCTCCAGCACTTTGCCTGTCTGTTGCCATACGCCCTGCCATGATTGGTCATGGATTCAACCCTCTGGAACTGTAAGCAAATACCCAATAAACTCTTCTCTAAGTTGCCTTCATCATGGTGTCTTTTCACAGTAGTAGAAAAGTAAGAAGTCTAGGAACATTTCGATCAATAACATAACACTACCAAGGGGAAGGGTACTGTTAACTTCTCAATGGTTACCAAATCATGAAGAGTTAGGGGAGAAGTGCAATGGCCTTGCTCTTGAGTACCAAAAGGACCAAGCCTGTGTCTCGTGAATATTACTTTCTTCCTTGGCAGGGCTGGGGAGGACACTGAAATAAGTCAGTACAGTATAAATACAAGATCAGTAGCTGCAATCAAATTGGAAATGTAGATGACACCCGGAGTTCAGGAAAATGTGAAAGGTTGCCTAGGAAATATGGAAGAGCAACAGGTAGGAAAAGCTTGTAGATCAAAACAGCAGCTGTGGGTGCGTGGAGCTGCTGGGCCATCAAGGGTTCCTTTTTGATAGCCTACTCCGGGCAGCATGCCGTCATGGTCAAGGGCTAGGCTTAAATCTACTTCCTTTACTTGTTGTGGCTTTTCAAGCCTTCGAAACCATGTCTAGACTTCCGTTTTCTCATCTCTATAATAAGAATTCTAACATCACCTCAAACGTACCCTATGAGAAGCAAATTTATTACTTTATCTAAATTTCTTAGCATAGCACTTGACTGTTTACCAGCTCAGACACTGCTTAAAACTGTCCCTGAGGTGGACTGTGTGTGTTCACCTTGGGGAACTGGCAGGCCCCTGAGTTATCCATGGAACTGTATTTAGATTTAAGTCCCCAGGAAGATGCAAGAATCTAGAACTGGGCCAAAGTTCTGAAGAAAGTTTGGACATCCTAGAAGGAGTCAATTAGATCACAACTTCCAGGAAAGCACCTGAGACCAAATCAAAAGCAGGCTTGCTAAGTACCTTCTTCTTCCTGCCGTTTGTACTCCCAGACTGTCCACACAAATGTACCAAGGCTCTCAATAAGACAGGAGCAATTTTTTTGAGCAACCGTTGGCTGTGGTTTAGTCTTTGGGGGTTGAAAATGGTCTGAAGATAGGAAGAGATCTAGTGAAATTGTTGCTAAAGAGGTAGTTGGCCATGTGTTTCTACAACCCAGCAAATCAGAGTTCCAGTGGAGAAGCATGTGAGGACTTTCTCCAGTGTTTTCCTTAGACTGAGTGGCAATGGACACAGTCATTTTGTGTCGCAGGCTCAAAGCAAAACTGACCCTTGGATCTGGACCCTTCTAGTTGTTCAAACTAGGCCAACGATAATATTTTCATCTTCTCAGAGTGGAAACAGAAAAGACCATCTATAGAAGGCTGAGAAATATAGACTGGCCTGATCAAGAAAAATCCTTTCTCTCTGATTTTAGAATCTCTTTCAGGAGCTGATGAGATAGCTCAGCAGTTAGGGGTGCTTCTTGCTCTTTGAGAGGACCCAGGTTCAGTTCCCAGCACATACCCTAGTCAGAAAGCAACTGCCTATATGTGTAGCTCCATGGAATCTGACACTCTCTTCTGGACTCCATGGGCACCCACACATACATGACATAGCCTCATGTACCAACACATACACATTCTTAAAAAGTAAATCTTTAAAATAATATTTTTTTTCAGCAAGGTGGTGGTGGCGGCACATGCCAATAATCCCAGCACTCAGGAGGCAGAGGCAGGTAGACCTCTGTGAGTTCAAAGCCAGCCTGGTCTACAGAGCAAGTTCCAGGCCAGCCAGGGCTACACAGATAAACCCTGTCTCAAAATAAACAAATAAATACCCCCCCAAAAATATTTTGTTTCAAATGTGAGGGGTGAGAGAGGGGAAGATTTGTAAAAAGTTACACATGTTCAATAAAAACAACAAATGAAAAATGTTGAAAAGACTACACATCCCATTAAAGGGAGGGAGTATAAAAGGTGATGGGACAGAAAGGGAATGGAGACATAACTAACAAAACCTGTAAACAATTAATGAACATACTGAATTAGAAATTCCAAAAGGAAGGGGCTGCTCAAGATTTCCAAGATCAGAGTTGTGAAGGATCCCCTTGTTATCTGTTTAAATGTTTTATTTTTAAAATGATTATCTATCTCCAGGGCATTACAGAGTCTGATAACTAGCCAAGATTCTTTGGTTTCAGTAAATATGATATGAATTACTGTCTCCAGCCTGGGGGTAGAGTGGAGAAACCTACTGCTCTGTTGGAGTACCTCTTGTGCCCTGAGGGCAAGAAGGCAAAACCTGAAAGACAGGAAGGAAATCAAGCCTGGGAGCTGTAGAGTGTCCCTCTGCGAAGGCTCTGCAGGCCCCTTCTGCCATTCTACAGTTGATTTTTCTGTCTTGTGGATACCCTTTGTAGAACAAGGCTACCTTCAGTTCAGTGTTGGTCACGTGAAAGAGCGTAACACACAGACATTTCCCTGGTTTCATATGAAATTTTTAAGAACTTTGCCAGAGAAAGGTAAGCATTCTTCCTACGGTCTTACTCTTGGAGACCTGTTGGCAGACTGTTTGCTACCACGCACTATGCTTTTCCAGCACAACATAATAAAAGAACATCACCATCCTGTTTTATAAATCTGTGGGGCCGAAAATGAAAGACTAAATCTATAAATACAACCTGGTCCGTCTGTATAGTGACATTTGCACATAGGTTTTCAGGGCTGGCCACTTGGTATTTCACAACCAACTGACATGCTTTTCCCTAGGAAAGACTAATTCTCCTGCGGTCAGCAATCCTTAGTTGCCTGGAGGGTTTTCTAGAGGGTTGCTACTTCCTAGACCCTCCCATCCCAACACTCCCATCCACATCAGCATGTGGAGTATTGTCAGCATTGTTCAGCTCATGTTTATGCAGTCATGTTGGTGAAACTTTATGGGTGTAGCTTCTGACATTCCTAGGAGACACTACTTTGCAGCGAACTCCCTGATCCTCTGGCTCTGACAATAGTTATGGCCCCCCCTCTTCTGCAGTGATCCCTGGAGCCAGATTTGGAGGAAGTAAAAGGAAAGGGGGAAAGAATGCTGTAGTTAGGTTGCAAAGAAAAGAAAAATTAATTAAAATAAAACTAAAATCCAGGTGTGTGCTGGCACACACCTCTAATCCCAGCACTCGGGGAGGCAGAGGCAGGCAAATTCCTGTGGGTTCAAGGCCAGCCTGGTCTACAAAGTG